ACAAAAAAAAAAAAAAAAAAAAAAAGAGAGGACACTTCCTGGTCCTCTGCTTACAAGTGCACTGGGGCTGGAAACATTGGAACACCGCTGGACTTGAAGCTTGGTGTGATATGTTTTTTTTTTTTTTTTAAATAAAAAATTGGACCATTTCTCGATTTATGCGTGTCATCCTTGAAAGCGCAGGGCCCATGCTAATCTACCCTTGTCTGTATTGTTCCAGTTTTAACGGATGTCCCAAAGGACAGCTTGGTGTGATATGTAAACATGATCAGCTCGCGGTTTGCTTTTGACGTACTAGTACAGATGTGCGATCGATCTTGCATCAAACCCATGGGAATAATTGTACGGTACCGTCAGTTCGTCAGATGCGCATTTAAAACTGGGTTGGATACATTCACGAATCTCCTCGCTTTGGAGCAAAATTCACGAAACCGTGACTGAAACGCATTTAAAACTGAAAACCTTGACAGCCCCCTAGTTTTCCCTTTTTTTTTAAAAAACAAAAAAAGAAGAGCTCCACTGTATTCGTGAGGAGTGGTGCGTAACCGATAGTCTGCTGAAATTTACTGTCCATCGTATTATAATTTGTTTCTGTTACAAAAGCTATGGTAAAAGATGGGATCCTAGTTAAAAAAAAAAAAAAAAAAGAATGGGATCCTGGTGAGACTTCTCGTGAAGAGGGTTGTGGGGATAGGGTTGGTCTGGGGATTTTGTCTGAGATGGGTGTTTCGGTGAGCTTGGGTGGTAGAAACGCCTGTGGTCTGGGATCATGAGGGATAGAGTTTATGGTTTAGGGGTACCAGCGGTGTTCTAGGCTGTGTTGGTCTCATCGTGGTACAATTCGGCATGAAGTAAGAAGTGTGAGAGGAAGCGTGAGAGGGACGGGGCATTGCGGCCGAGGGAGATGGATGTTCCGTGCCGCACTTCGCGTACTAGATTCCGGTGCCATGTAGCATTCGATAGGGTTGGTCTGGGGGCTTAGGAGAGCTCAGACAGGGTGCCTGAGATGGGTGTTTCGCTGAGCTTGGGGGATAGACAAGCCTATGATTTGGGATGGGGAATAGGATTTACAAGGGTTTACTAGTGGTGTTACTGGTGTAGGGCTTATTGGGGATAGGGTCTACGGTTTATGGGGATGGGGGTTTAGGGTTTATGCCACTTCATGGGGATAGAGAAGCCTCCCCACATTGATTTACCCATTTGCCATTCTTCCTCTCTTGTACATTTTTTGTCATCCTCGTAAACAAAGAATGAGCCAGTTTTCACATAACAGTTACTGTATTTCCCCTTAGAAAGAGAAAGAAAATACATAACTGTGTTCATCTGCTGCTGCAGGTCATCGAGGTCCAACAAAATGGAAGGGCTCTGTCATCGACTCCATCATTGGGACTTTCCTTACCCAGAATGTCTCTGACGTCTTGTCAAGGTCAGTGGGAGCCTCGTTTTCTTTACTTATGTATTTTCTTTTGATTGCTTTGTTTATTTATTTACTTATTTATTTTTATTTTATTTCTTTATTTCTTTATTTCTTTTTCTATTTTTATTTTTATGTTTATTTTTAGTTTATTTCTTTATTTCTTTCTTTATTTCTTTCTTTATTTTTATTTTATTTTTATTTTATTTTTATTTTATTTTATTTTTATTTTTATTTTTATTTTTATTTTTATTTATTTATTTGTTTGTTTATTTTTACTTTTATGTTTATTTATTTATTTTATTTATTTATTTGTTTGTTTGTTTGGTGATTTATTATTTGAAATTAGAGGGTACTTAGTGGGTCACTATAGCAGGAAACACAATACCTTTCTTGGCCTTTTGGCTAAGAATAGGAAGAATAGATCGAGTGTAGTATCTGTTCAGATCGGTTTAATATCTGATCCGTGGTCCATTGGACCACACTAAAAAAAAAAAAAAAAAGGAATCAGTGAATCACACCGGTTTACTTGGGATTACTGCAGGCCCTTTGAGGGGCCTGGTCCCGCTAGCGGGGGCGTAGTTTAGAAATGTGCTACAGTGTGACACAAGTGACACACATGGTTGCCATTGGATGTAACGGGTTCGACGCGCAGACCATGGGAGTTTAGAAGAATTTATTCAAGAAGTTAAAGAAATACAAATAACAAAAGTCAAAAAAAAAAAAAGAAGAAGAGTCTCAACCATGGTTATGCCGGACCCGGACCCGGACCGGACTGTACCCAAAACCGTACGCACGTCTGGAAAGTCCGGACGTCCGGACATGATCCGGACCTTCCGGACATAGCGGACGTGGACGGTCCGGAGGGGGGAGGGGGGGGGGGGGGGGGGGGGGGGGGGGGGGGGGGGGGGGGGGGGGGGGGAAACTGCCAGGGTGGGTGACACTGCGTATGCAGCCCTGCCGAGGATGCTGTCATCCGTGTGACTTGTGTCAATCCTTTCACAGCACGACCAACACCCTGCACCCCTCTGTTCCTCCTTGACATCCACTTCGTCTCTGAGATCCTCCCTCCCCTAAGCCACCATCGTCCTCCCTCCTCTGTGTCTCCTGCGTCATCCACAACTCCTCCCTCCTCCACGACACCTCTCTCTCTCTCTCTCTCTCTCTCTCTCTCTCTCTCTCTCTCTCTCTCTCTCTCTCTCTCTCTCTCTCTCTCTCTCTCTCTGTGATCGCGATGTTGGCTCGATGCCGGCGACCACGTGCACACGGCAGGAGCAGCCACGATGACGGTGATGGGGGAAGCGCTGCAATGACGACGTCAACAGCTCGCCGCATTACAGCGGCGTGAATGGCGGGCAGGGGGAGTTTCGATAGCATACCAGCGGGCTGAATGGTGGGCGGGGGCAGTTTCGATTCGAATAGACCTCGTTTCCCACCAACAACGAGCCCACACCAAGACTGCACAGTCCAGAGTGAACGAAAAAAATATATATATAAAACCTAAGAAGCGCGCGTCCGGTCGTGTCTGCAGAGGCCCAACGGGTCAAAAAATTACCAGAGACAATTTTCTGGGGTCGGCCTCGACCCAACGAAGGGTCCAGGCCAACCCGTTTAAAAAAAAAACATCCTCTAAATTTGGCACCCTCCGGACCCTCCGGACCGTACGTCCGCGCGGACATGGTACTCCGGACTGTCTGGAACTCGGTCCGGACGTCCGGAACGTAACCATGGTCTCAACAGATTCGACGCGCTGGGGCCTGGGCAGGTGTGGAGTGTCGAGGACGATGTGGAGGGAGATAATGGCGCCATGATACTAAAGCTCATATTATCTTCATTAATGTGATGTTCCATTGTGTGTAATCTTTTGCACTGAACGCTGAATTCGAGAGGACAATATAGCTCTAGGAAGAAAAGGAAAAAAAGGGTTGAAACTTGAATGCCCCCCAGAATAGAAGGGGTGGGTGGTTTGGTAAACAAAAAAAAAAGAGGAAACACTCCGGGTTCAAACCCCTAGTCCCTCCGAGTTTTCGTCACAAGAAACGGAAAGGGAATACAGAAAAGGAAACTTGGTTGATGCTTTGGCAAATCGGTGACCGCTTTGGCAAAGTGGTCTCTCCGAGTTTTCGTCAAAACAAACCGAAAGGGAATACAGAAAACTCTAAGGGACATGAGGTCTACCCGTTCGCGGTTGCGAGACTGTGACGGAGTCGGAGCACGGCAGGGATTCAGGGATAGTTCGGGCAGAGATCGCGGGCTCTCTCGGATAGTTCAGGGATAGTTTGTTCCGAGAGATCCTGCTGTCCTCGATTGGTTACGTTGCAACGCGCTCCACCTGAGCAAATAGTGATGACGATTTCGGTAATAAACGCTTTGACTGGCACAGTCTGGCAGTAGTTGGTATGCTGTGTACCGTTCATTTTGTGTGTCGTATCTGTGAAATCTCAAACGCTTTACCCTGAGTCCCACAGCTACTCACAGTCATTGGTTCCAGTTTGCTGTAAAACGGGACGCTGGACCCGATTTCCAGCGGGTGACGCTCCCCACCAATAGATGGAGCCTCTCCTCCAGTGATAGTGCTGTCTGCTCTTATCAGCAGCACTAGCACTGGAAGGGGTGCTTGTTAAAAAAAAAAAAAAAAAAAAAAAAAAAAAAAAAAAAAAAAAGGGTCGAGGAATAGATGACAAGGGTACGAGGGTGTTCAGGATCAGAATCAAAAGAAGATGGGGGGGGGGGAAGAGGGGGAGTGGGGTTACTCTCTCTCTTTGCCGTCTGCATGCCCGTGGACCATGGCCATTTAGTTATTACTTGGGACTGGAACTCGGACGGGTTAGACCGCCAGCAAACCCAAGCCTCTTTTTTGCAATGCGGGTTTCTGTCCAGTGTCCAGCCCTAGGATATCCACACCATCACAGCAGGCGATTTTTTTTTTTTTTTTTTTTTTTGGCAGGCGATTTGCCTGATGCCGTCGGCTTTTCTTCTTTTTTTTCTTTTTTCTTTTTTCCGTCGGCCCTTTTCCGACATGAACACGGAGCCTTTCGGCGGCCCTGTGTGAAGTTGACCGGAATTGGTTTTTCCAAACGCTGGGCCGTCCTGTGGTGGTCACCGTTTTGAAGTGTTCGATGATTCCTAACTGAATAGTAATCATAGCTGAGTCACAATGGTCATGCGGCTGGTAAATGAAACTAACCTAGTATGCATCTGGTCAAGCAACTGGTCATGTTCATCAAACTTCATCCCACTTTACTGGCTGCAAATCTGTGCTTTGCAGTCAAACGCTGCATGTACGGGCGGCGGCATGTGGGCGACAACCTGTGAACGAATATGGTCATTCGTATGACCACATTCCGTGTTGTTTTGCCATGCACATTGCTAAGGCTCAGGACTCACAGGTGGTTTGTCCATGGTGAGCTAGCATGAACATGGTCAGGTTTATGACCAGATCCACGCCTCTTCGAGCATGGATGTAACCCACCGCTGGAGCCAGGAGCTCTCGGCCCTCGCCAACCCAGTCCACCACATTGTGACACTGTCATTGTTGTCTTCCTCTGTGTTTCTTATTAACCTAGTTCAGTTGCTACACCCATGAACTGTAGAAATACGAATCAGACCGAAGTTCGAATCCAGATGCAATCAGATGAGCAAAATAATATAATTCTGAATTTCCCGGGCCCGATCAGCTCAATCATGGTGATATCTCAAGAGCGTCATCCTTTAAAAGAGAGTTTTTTTTTCCCGTCCAGTACTTTGTGAAACGGTATTCACCAGTTCGCAGTAGCAAATGCAGATCCCAGGGCTCGATCCCTAGTTCCCCATCTTACCTGTGTACAGTATTGATGTCAACCCGTAGCTTTGAACCTGCAACCTGTAGGATCGCCAGTGGTAGGTAGACTTTCGTAGGTCACAGGGTAGGAGGGATTCGAACTGTAGACTTGTAGGGTAGGAGTCTAAACAGTTCAGAGGCCGTAGCTGTAGGTTGCTTGAAGAGTCAAGGTCGTAGCCGCTACTTACCTGAAAGGGCAAAGTCGTAGCTGCTACAGTACCGAAAGGCCAAGTTAGAGACTTCTAAAAGTGGCCTTTCGGAGTTTGCCTGCATTCAGCAGAGGCAAGTGGTCAAGTGGTGGTAGTCCACCTAGTCCGGTCAGCAGTCCCAGTTAGTCCAGTCCGGTCCAGTCAAGCAAGTACCGTCTGGGACTGTGCACCTCGTGGGCCAAGGGATACGGGGCAGACCAACGCAGCGCAGAAGTATAAATCAAGAGGCTGCGTCCAGCCATTCATTCATTCCTGCGGATGCCATGCGGAAGCGCTGCCTCAGCA